TCATCTTGGTTACAGCTTCCCGATTCCTTTGCCAAACTTGTCTTCAGCCTCGGTCTTAGCTGTCAGTTTGGGTATGTTCAAAACTCCATGGGCTGGCTACAGACCACAGTTGAAGACTAGTTGCAACACAGCCTATTTTTCCCTCGTTTTCCATTCCTGGCTTGTCCCTTTACTCACTTGTAAGTGTTACATCACTGCTTAAGTGGCAGCGATCTCCTGGTTAGAGAAGGGCAGTGGTTAGAAAAGGGCAGTGTGTGTAAATCCTGGTGGCCGAGCTGCTTGCAAGCTGAGCCTGCAAGGTGATTGCTGGATAGGGCCACAGTCTGAGAGTTATTTTATGCTGCTTGAGGTTGAAAGGTGCTGTATATAATTTAGGATGGGAAATGGATATCATAAACAAAACAATCTTGTCATTGTAAAGATCTGGGGAGGGAGTCCCATAAACACCTGCTCAGGTCTGCGATGACAGCTGGTGGTGCTTTCGGGGTCAGGCTTACCTCTGCAGCTGTGCTTGCATTCTCAAAGGAGAAACCAGCCTCTTTTCACATCCTTAAGAAATTATTCTGGCTGTTTGTAGAGCAGCAATCAGAAACCGTATATGCTGCAAAATATTTTTTTTAAGAAAGAGGTTAATGTGGTCTGAAAAACAGTGTAACGTGATCGGCTTCACATCTGGGAAAGAACATAAAATAACTTGCACTGTCAGGAAGATTTTTTGTTTTCCATATGTTGTTTCAACTTCTAGGTAAATGTGAAGAAAGAGATACCTAGTTATTTGACTGATTGCACGACGTCCAGAGTTTGAAACGCCATTTTACACAATATTATCAAAGGGAGTACGAAGACTTTAAACATTTCACGTGTAAACAGTGTGCATAAGCAAATTCTGAAATAAAAATAACATCTTTGTTATTATGTAGCATGACCTATAATGCTTCTGAAACATTGTTTTAAACACTATTTAAATAAACAAAATAAGATATTCATACTAGAAAAACATAGTTGTTTCACCCCTCTCTTTCTGTAATGCTTACACTTCTGTAAAGTTGATGTGAAACTTGAAAACTTTATGCTCATTTAACATGTGATAGATACTTTTGAGTGTATAAGAAACTGAAGAATCTGGATGCAAGTGCTGAATCAGTACATAAGTCCATGTTGTCAGGTTTGTGCTGTGAGTGCTTCAGAAATTCAATTTTAAGGACTTGATAGTTATTGTAGGTCTTTACTGGGACTCCGTGAAATTCAGGGGAACTTGTCTCAGTATAATCTATCCTGGTTTTCTAGCTAACTGTATGGGGTGGCAAAACCAAATCTGTGTGAAAGAGGTTGTCGCATTAGAACATTTTCCTGCCTGGTAGGAAGAGTAAGCTGTTCCAGTACAAGGCACATTTCAGACCATCTGTGATAGGTATCAAAACACTGTAATTCTGTTGATGAAAGTGTCACGCTCCTTTTTCTACAGAATTAAATGAGTGAAACTTGTGGATTTAGATGAGTTCTGTGTTGTAGTAGTGTGGCCCTGAGAGAGTTTTGAACTGTATTTAGACATCCTCAGTTCAGCTGAAGCCCAGATGTGTAATGTCCCCTCTCTGGCCTCTGATGGATCCATCCTCTGTGCTGTCACTTTTCAAAGGCCTTCAGAGGTACCCAGCTTTCTCCTTTGACCAGACACACAGACTTAAATGGAGTGCAGGCTGTCCAAATGTAGTGGTTTTGATGGCATTTGCACCATAGGAGCACAGCTTTCGTTTATTCTTACTTTTCTACTCTGAAAGGAAGTATAGGAGATGTATAAAGATATAGACATATATCTGTATAGATACATCTACAACTAATGTTTTCTCACTTTTCCAAGATGCTGCTGAAAAGGATGTGGCATCAGTTTGTCAGGGCGTCTTCATTTTTGATAACCTGCTTTCGTTCATTAAGCTTTGAACACAAATGCATCTCTTAAGGGCTTTTAAGCTCTGATGAGTAAATTGAGCAAAGTCTGTGTAGTTCGACTTAAAATCTTTGTAAACAGAAAGAGATCAGCATGTTTGGTTGGCAGTGTGGCCTTATTTTGTTTCAAAACTGGTGAACAAACTGTTTTCATGTAAGAGGTTGAGCAACCAAATTCTGAGCTGTTCAGAAATTCTTTTGTTACATTATTTGATTTTATTTTTGTGTTGAACATCTGGATAATTTTCAACAAAGGAAATAACAGAGGCAATTCCTTAACTCCTCAATAGTTCCTGGCAAGCGTACTCACACTTGATTTCTTTAGAGCAGTCCCACTGCACTCAGTGGAGTTGTAGGATTTGCGGAATAAATGGACATATCTGTCTTCATGGGCACTACATAAATTTGCTTCTCAGCTATTCTCGGCACCCTGACATTCAAGGGCTATTTCAGGGTGGTGTGTAACAGGCAGAGAAGTAAGTAGAGATGAGGAATTCATTACTTCACAGAAATTTTCACATGGGAAAGATTAAAGTTAGTTGGTCAGATTAGCATCTACCCACAAAAAAATTTAAGGTGAGTCACGGAGAGAGGTGCCGTGCAGCGTCAACAGCAGGGGTAGGCAGTGAGCACCTGGGCAGGCAGCGCTGCGATTGCCCGATGCAGCTCTCCCAACGCAGCTCTCCTCCCCTGGGGAGCAGCATGGTCCTCTCCTGGGCCCTGGACTTTGGGACCACCTTCCCCAAAGCATTTGCTGGCAGCCAGTTGGCCTCTCACAGTGAGCCAGAGCTGTGACCTGTCTTTGACTGTCATCCAGGCAAGTGAAATAATTACGCTGACAATCACGTTATCAAGGCACATCTGAGCTAATACCTTAATTACACAACTTCTTCGAGTTCTTTTTGCATTCTCCTGGCAGGCTCAGGGAAGTCAGGGCTGTATCACAAGAGGTTTTTTTGAGTACAGCTGTGTTCTCTAGGCTTCTTAAGAAATGGTGAAGTTCAGCAGCAAAATATTTGAGTGTGCACACCTAACTTTGCTTCACATTTCCAAGCTTTCCTTTGCAGTGGTTTCAGGCAAAGACTTTCAACCTGTTCACATGAGGAAAAGCTGTTTTTGAATATGTATTCCTCAATAATTCACTGTGTGGGTGCTTATTCTAATGCAAGGGTGCCTTTGTCCATTTTAATGTAACATTTCAGTAAAGATATGACACTTTAATAAAAGCTGATGTTCACAAGGTTCTATTTCTCGTCCAGACAAGCCCTTACTAATTTTAAGATGGAAGTGGAGATTCCATAGAGGATTGTTTTCAGAGCAGGGATTGTATTGTGTATAGACGTACACTGCCTCTTTCCAAGCTCTGATGCAGGACTGAAGTGCAGGGAGCGTTTTGATCCTGTAAAGTACCCATCTTCAAGTACCACCCCAGAACAGGCCCATGATTTCCCTCTGGAAAAGCAAATCCAAAATTATTTCTCTAAACAAACATAACTCATCAGTTCCCTTTCTTTCAGCATACAACTTCAGGTCCCAGACCCTTCTTTTGCTCTTTTTGGTGATTACTTTTCCATGTGTGTATTTTTTCACATATGTACTCATTCATTTATACTCGTGAGAAGTGCTGACAGGAAAACAAGGACTATTTTTGGTACTTTTCAACGTTTTTGAAATTTAGATTTTTTCCAGAACTGAAAAAATCCAAACTGTTTTGGTAGTTTTGGCAAGACAGAATTAAAGCTGATTATTTTCAATCTGATAAAAAATTGGACACCTTTCTACCCTTTTCTTCCTTGAACCTGCATCATGACTGAGTTACTTTTATCCAAATTAATATACCTTAATGAAATGTTTGGGCATGCAGTTATTTGTACATCTGTAAAAGGCAGACCAGCTTGTGAACTATGAGCGGTGTACATGTGGTCTCTTGCACACACACAGATTTCTAGGATAGGGTTAAACTTAAGTTTACAGCCCTAAATGATCCTTTAGTGAATTAATAAGGTATCAGCTACTTTTACTGGTATCAAAATACTTGGACATAATATTTTACAATTTTTCAGCTTGGTTACCTCCACTTTAACAAAAGGGGAAAGCTAGAAATCTCTCTTAAAAGTGAATGGAGGTCCAAATAGCTACAGAAGAAAATGCCTCGCAGGAACAGCTGGTGCTGCATTATTTTGCAAAGGACGCCACACAATTAATGGTGTCTGCCTGTAGCCTGTTCGGCATGAAAAGTAGGTCTGTTAGTTAAAAGCCCCCCTCCCCATCCCAAACAAGGCCTAAAACTCAAAGGAGGGAGACCAGAGGAGGTGCATCTGAGGTGGTGGCCAGCCCGTTCCAGGTGACCGGGATGGGAGGAGAAGGAGGGCTGGGTCCCAGCTGCACAGGGCTGCAGGAATTTGGGGTGAGGAGGTCAATGACCCAGCATTGCTGCAGTTGCTCCTCCATTGTACCGTGCCTCTGCTGAACCCCAGATGGGGAGCGTCGTTCTTACAAACAGCTGCCCCCGCCCCCCATAGAACCCCAACCTAACCCCAACCCAGCACCTTTTGTATGAACTGAGCACTTTTTGTGCTAGTTAAGCTGTAGGGTTTCTGGTTCCAGCCGATGTTCATTCAAGAAGTTTGCTTTTTGTGGGGAAGAAAAAACAAAGAAAAAGTTGGGAAAAGAGGGAACGACAATACTGTTGATGTGAACGTTAAGTGAAATTCATTCTCTCTGTAATTTCTTCCGAAGATCACGACATCCCAGCTACAATGAAATAGACTTCTTGGTTGTTGGGTACAGCCTTTATTTCTGCAGTTGCGTACAGGCGGTGTGTTGTTAAAGTTGCTCAAGATTTTCTTTAAGCTGCTTATCAAGGAGACTTGCATTCTTGGAGATTTTTAATAAAAAAAAGTTTAGTGGTGCCTTAAGTTTATAATTTGATACAAAACTCTTGATACTTCAGCATTTTACAAAAAGACGTGTTTTAAGGGGCTTCAGTATTGGACATAAAGTTTAATTTATAATTTAGTATTATATTTTAATAATGGGCCATTGTTTCTTTTCAACAGGATTATTTTACAGATGAAAACAGAGTACTAAAAAAGGACCCTCAACAAGATTACCATCTGGAATATGCCATGGAAAACAATACACATACAATATTGGCTTTTAGCAGAGAACTGCACACTTGTGACACGAATGACAAGACCATAACGGTAAGAGGATCTGTCTATATGTAGGGACATGAAGTAATTAATACAGGCTAAATGTATACATGGTTATGAAACTGGTTATTAAGATCTCATCTTACTAGAAGGACAGAATTAGAGAAATTCACTTTCCAAAACATCTGTTTGGTCAAATTAACCTGGTAAAATACTTATGCTAGTTTTATTAAGCTTTTATATTTTAATTTCAGCTTTCTTTGTCCTTCTGCTTTAATGCATTATATTCTCTAACTTCTAACACACCAGGTGAACACAGGATTGAAACAAGTACCTCTGGGCCATCAAGTCCCATATCCCACAGTTATAATCATTCAAGAGATGCCAACTCGGGAAACACTTTTTAGCTCTTACACTACCTTGTAATTTGATCTTAAAGATAGACTTTTAAAAAAGTTTGGAGCAGATATATTTAAAGTACTTATTCATTTTATTTCTTTATTCAAAATTAAGAAGTTGAAGTTTTATGATAAAACTCTTTTCGTGGTAAAATACTTTTTATGGTAAATTCCTCCGTTGCCCTAGGGACAGCCGTACTGTTCCCTAAGCATAATTTTAAATTATATGAAGTTGATGACTTGTGTATTGGAAATGACAGATAGGTTGGAGAGTTCTGCAAGGCTTTCTATCCTTTGGCTTGTTTACTACTCATTTTGGAAGCATTGCTAAAGTAATTCAACGCTATTTTCATTATCTGTGTTTTCACAATATATGCAATAATAAAAACATGAGGAGCGAAAGATGCAGGAAGCAAACCACAGCTGTATAAACCACCAGATTCCCAGGCAGTCAATGGATCTATGGTTTTCACACCTGCTCCAAATTCTCAGTATAATTTAACATTCTGTGACACTTCAGGATTTATTAGAGTACTTTGTCTCAAGGGTGGTTATTGCAATCTGAGAATGGTTTACAGAGAATTGATCTGTGCTGTAGCTGTAGATTGATTTTTAAGATGTAAATCTGTTCTGGAGTTGAATATCTATCTTCCCTAGCATGTAAGGACAGCAGTTCACAGAAGGTATTTACATCTTTACAGAGCTGAGCCTAGAAAATGTTTTGACAGAAGCCTTCTGATTGCTGGCCAAGTAACAGACAACTCTAGAAAAAAATTTCCGTGCATTCAGTAGGTTACTTCTTGATGAGTCTGTTCTGCTATTTGCAGATATGATTTAAATTCATTAATGAATTACATCAATGAAGGAATCTATCAGAGAGAGATTCAACTTCTGCATATCTCCGATGAACCCTATGAGTGTAAAACATTGTTAATTTTAAAGGCAAAATTGTTTCAGTAGATGACTGCTCCTCTGGTGTACATTGTCATTGTTCAAATACATCAATACCTACATCACACCTTTCATAGGAATTACATGAATTACGTAAGGAAGAGATTGGTCTTATTCCTTATGGACTTTTTGGTTTAAGGTTGTTTGCTTTTTTTTTTTCAGGAGAGCACAGTGCGGGTAATATGGGCCTACCACCACAAAGACATGGGAGAAGCAGGTCAAAATTACCATGGGTCTAATCGTGGCACAAAGAGTCTACGTTTACTGAATCCTGAGAAAGAAGAAGTCTTATCTGCCTCCTTGCCATACTTTGACTTGACAAACAAAGACGTAAGTTACTCTGGGTTTTGGGTTTGTGTGGAGAGGGGGATAAGGTGGTAGCCAAAGCTTTGGGCTTACGCAATAGTGTAATATGACTCTTATAATATTGTGTTCTTGCCCTTTTTATTAAGACAGGTGCCTGTACCAGACAAGGATACAACATATTGGTGCCAAATGTTTAAGATTCCTGTACAAAATGAAAAGCATCATGTGACAAAGGTGAGTGATTCAGACTGAGCAAATTTAGAGGAGCTCAGGTAACTATTGCACTTCAAATCCATTCTTGCACTTTCAAAATTTGTTTCATTAATTACTGGAGTGAGAACAAGACCTCTTGTCTGTCTTCACAAACATGGGTCAAGTGTATGTGCATCTGTGCCCAGGACCTGATTCTGGTGTGCCCTGACAACTGGCACGCACAGTGACAGAGCCCCTTTCTTTCTTTTCCTATGTCCTCTCTCCCTTAAGAAAATGAGGGTGAAAATTATTTCTGTCTGTAAACATTTCTGGCAAAGACTAAGTAAAATTGTGTAAAAGCACATTCCATCAAGTTTCTACTTTTGTAAAGGAATTGAATTAATTTCTTTTAACAGAGAGTAATTTTAGATTAAAAAATAATTAAATGGTGAAGTTCATTCAAATAAAGGTCCAGGTTCTTACTTGATTCCAATCAGCTCTCTTGCGATGACCACAGTGGAGTTATGCTACATTACATCATGTAAGCACAGACTCCATTATCTTTGTCTGTGTAAAAGCCAAATACTATGAAAAAAGAGGTGGATGTTGTAGTTTATTTTAAAATTAATGAAAATGTGTAAATGTCCATACAAAGTTCAGCAGAAAAAAAAAGGTGTTTTCAAAATCCACATGCATAACAGATTTTCTAACTTTTCTTTCAGTTTGGACCTGAAAACTTAAGAGTGCTGGGGGAAAGATGGTTCTCACATTCCTTCCCACGAACAATATATTGAAGATCTAAAAGAACAACTTATTATTGTTCTAAACTGCTTAAGATAGCACAGTGGGATAGCTCTGGCCCACATCTTTCTTTGAACTTGTGAATGCTTTTAAGTATACAATTCTATTCCATTTTTTGGATTATTGTCAGTCATATTTCTCCAATGCATTCAGTAAGACTGAAATTTTAAATTAACTCAGAGAACTTAACATGTGATCTCCAGTGTATGTCTGAGAAATATCTATAGTTATTCTGAAATACTGTGGTTTTCCACACTTTATCAGAAAGAAGAATTGCAAGGTGCAAATTTCTGCCTTCAGATATTTGATCTTTAATCGCATTTGAAATCTGTGACAGCTACTTTCACAGATCTGTATGAAAAGAAGAATTTGCTTGTAATACAGTATATATGTGAGGATTCCTAGCTTTCCGCTTTCAAGTGAGAGAGCTTCAATGGTAGTATGAGAATCAAGCTTTGCATGTGAAGTTTGGTGGAAGTTGTAGTTACATGCTGTTCTGCTAAAAAGTTCTCTGGAACTATTTATTATTTATATATTCTGAATTTATTTTTTAAATGTTTGCCTGACTGCACATAGAGTTGCTTATTTTAAAAATGTTGTGGTCGGTTGAAGCTAAAACATGATTTTAGCTCAGAAATACACTGTCTAATTTTTCAGAATAGTTTTATATTCTTTATTTTTATGATGATGTATTAGAATATTCTAATTTTATAAATCATATTTTAAAATCAGTGATTTAGTTTTTTTCGCAGTGTTAAAAATTAGAATAGAAACCTCTGCGATTTTCCACCTTCAGAAAAGCAAACAAATTTCATCTTGCTCCTTAAAAATTGTTTAGAGAGAGAAAAATTATTATGGAAAGAGAGAGGAATTATGTAGGAACACTTCCTCAACATATCTTTTCAGATGACACATAAAGGATTGTTGTGGAATTGTATCTATGCACTCTTGCAAACTGATTAAACATTTCCTAAAGCCTACTGATGCACAAAGGATGGGGCTTATGGCTACTCAGGAAGATATTAGCTATGCAAACAAAGATTGAATTTCACAAAGGGGAGGACAGATGAATTGGCCTGACCAAACTGTGTATGTTAGTTAAATACTTACATAGATGTTGATTCTGGATTCCTTCTGTAGCACCATTTTCATACAAACCTACACATCTCATTTTTAGAGGCAGAAAAAAATAAGTTTAGAAAATGGTACAAATTCGCTTCTGGTATAATTCAGTCTACTTAAGTACTGTACACGTGAGCTGGCTTTGGCCGTGTTTGTCCTTCTGTATGATTTTCTGGAGCACTGAAGTGCAGTTCAGCTCTTATTGGACAATGTGTGCCAACAACACCATGGAAGTGTGTGCTGATCTGTGCGTATGTGTGAATCTGCTGGTGGTCTGGAGTCTCAAGTAGGTGCAAGAGTCACAAAGAATTTTTAAGAATTTTCAAGAATTTCAAGAATTTTTTTCATACTGTTCAGCTGTTCTCTGACATTCCTTCTAGAAAATTGCTCTGGGCATTTTGTAATAATATATTTTTTAAAATATCAGTTTCATCAGGAAAGCATAATATTTTAATGAAGGAAACTGTCTGCAAAAAATTTAGACCTGTCATCAAAGGTAGAGACCAAGATTTTTAATCATCTCTGGTCAATGAATGCCAGATTCTTGATCCAGACTCTGAATTAAAAAGGGATTTTTAACTTCCATTGACCATGCATTATTTTAAAAAAGAATAACTATATGCTGTCAGGCAGAACATATTCAAAGTATTTAGAAATTTTGTAAATACAGTCTAGTGGTCCAACAGCTGGGTAAGTGATAATACTTGGTCTTAGGGTGCACCTACAGTAGTGTTTTAGTTTGGATGAGAAGCACGCTTCTGATGTGAATCTTCAAGATATTCTTGCTTACTTCGGTGTGGTTATTGCCATGGAGCAGTCGTGGAGCTCATGAACTGAATCTCTTTGGGTGAAACTCAACAGAAGGATGTGTGCCAGGAGCACAACAGAAGTCCCCCAGGTGGAAATGGGCCGTCAGTCCATGGGACTGGTGTAGCGCTTGTGCAAATAAAACATTTCTGATGCTGGACAGTGAGGATATCCAGAACACTTTTCCTTTTCTGTGCTTTTTCTTCTCATAGAAAAACAAGTCCCCTAAACTGAATGGCTCTCTGAGCAATGGGAAATTTTGTTTTTGCAGATGTCCCAATATGCTGCCTTTGCCTTCTGGGTAGCTCAGGCACAGTCCTCCACATGATGGCTTGCATGAGCAAGCTTTTGATGTGAAGTGAATCAATGGGCTTCTTTGGGTAGTGATTGCAAGGCCTGTGTTCTTTTAGCAAAAGATAAAGAAATAACTAGCATAAGAGATCTCAAAATCAGTCAAAGGTAAATTATGTAAAACCTTATGTCTTTTCTTTCTTTTTACATAATATTCATGCTACTTTCCAAGAACCACAGGTAATGAGAAACAGTATATTTTCATTGACTGTGCTTGATCAAGCTGCACTAAATGACATGTAAATTGTGCAAGAGATAAGATTGTAATCTTGTGTTCATCTCATAGGTAGAATAAGGACATGGATAAGTAGTTTCTTCATATGCTGCATTTACCAATAGAGAACAGAGCTTCACTGCGATAATGGGGCATCCAGCCAGGGTTAGGACTTCTCTGTTTAATATTCCTTTGTTTCATATCTCTTGCAACTTCTTCCCTAGGGAAGAGGTTGTGACTTTCTACATGCCCCTACAATGCCTTCTGTTACGAGCTCTTTCATTAACTTTAGGAACTTCTGGAGAAATAACTCATAATAGCATTAAACCTTCTAAGAAATAAAACAAAATAAGAGAATTTCTCAATAGCTGGGCATAATAGTAATAAGAGTTACCCAGATTACAACCATAGCTGGCTGAATGATGTCTGCTTGAAAATTTACTAAAATTCTACAGGTTTTCCCTCCTCTGTATTTTTTGTTAGCAGAACCAATTATCAGGGTAATAGGTTTTGAATAATTTTGAAAATAACGATATGCAGAACAACAGATGAAAGTGATTGCATGGAGGTGATGGCAGGCAACCATCTTTCTTCAAACCAGCTGTTTGTAGGATGGCTCCGTGGTGGTCCTGGCGTGGTGGACCCTGGCTGCTCTTTGTGTGGGAGAGCACACGTCTCTGCCTGGCTGCAGACTCCTCCTGCAGCTACGTGTGCATTGGCCTGTTCTGCTGCTTTGAGCTTCAGGCTGTGGTATATGCCTCGGGCTTACTACCCTAGGGATTTTTACTTTTCTCACATGCAGGAATTAGCCGGGAGCTTTCTCACCAGTAGCTTTCTTAGAGAAAAGGCATTCCATTTATTAGCCCAGATGTTCTGTAGATGGATTTAAGGTTATTTCTTGCTAGGATTTTTGCAATTCTCTGTAAATATCATTATTCTGACTGGTCCTGAATGTGCCTTTCAATCTCATCCCTAAAGAAAGTTGTCTGGTTTCACCGACTGCAGCTGGGGAGGGACCTCTTCTCCGTCAGGACCTCTCAGAGGGAGGGACCCACTGCTAGAGCAGATACACAGGCATGTCCATGCACTGACCTCTGCATGAAAAGGTTTCTGTCTCCCTGCTGCAGGCACACTGAGCGCAGCTCCTTGGGTGTGGAGAGCCCTTGCAGGCAGAGTCATGGCTGGGAGCTGGGGCTTGCAGAGCGAGAGATGCTCACCCAGAGAAGCACCCACCGAGAAGAGGTGTCTCTGTCTCCCTCTTGTAAATTACCTGTTTTAAAAGTCTCTTTCTTATTGCTCTTTCAGTTTTTTAAAAAAGCTATTAAGTGGCAGCACACTGGAGCTTCTGAAATCCTTTAATTTTTGTATTGTTGAGATGTCTGATTTTCATGATTTTCAATGTGCATGGATATGTGTGTGCTGACATGTGTCTCTGCTTCAACAGTTTGTAGGACTATTTGTTGATAATTGGTTTTTTTCAGCCTATTTTCTGAATTTATTTTTTGCTTACTGTGAGCTGGCATCAGGCGAATGTTTACCGGCGGCATGAAAGTGAAAATTTGTTTCACATTCATGAGAAATACTTCCTAGTATTTCAGTAAATACAGCTTTTGCTTTATGGTCAAAGCCTGTTTTTACTGCTCTTTCTACTTGTGGTTCTACAGATACAGCTTTTTTTTGTTACTGTCTTTAGCTTAGGTTTCAAAACTCCAAGTCTTCTGTTAGTTTAATTTAATTCTATTGCTTA